AGCATTCGCACAGAATCAAATCAAATTTCCGCTCCCATCTTCTTGAAAACCACACATCATGCATCACAGGCACTTTTGTCTACCTTTTGACAAATTTCCTTGAATCTGGGCATTTTCTAATGAACCTCGACATTCACCTCCAGACAAGTTGGTGACGTGTGCAGGCCGGGCATGTGATGTTGGGGACATGCAAATCTAACGGACAAGTGCTGTCTCTGCTGCTTAAAGCCTCCCTGCTCAGAAGGCCCAAGTATATGACAATGACCTGGGGAGGAGGAAGTGTGGCAAAAAAAATAAAATAAAAAAATGACACACCTATGCAGGGCAGATGCTGAGACTGTTCATTGAATGGTGCAAGAATAACGCAAGAGAAAAGCGGCAACTGCGGGGGAACGGTTTACACAAAACATCTGTAATATCTGTGTATTTGTGTTTGTGGTAACGCCATGAACAGCCGCTTGTGAAAACACAAGTGCCGTCACTGTGCATGTAGACAACACATGGTGCAAAAAAATTGATTTAATACAGCATGGCATCCTCAACACCAGTGGCGCTCTATCTATCTTCTTTTTGGCAAGGACTTCCTGCTCTCCAGAGTGGTTCCGTCAATACATGACATTTATGAGGCTCCATGAGCCACGGCGCATGTTGCACAGATGACGAGGGACGCCTTGCGCGCCATGACGACAAAACTGCCAAATTGTGAAACATTGTGCGTGTAATTTTCTCCAGAAAAAGGCGAAGCAAAATTAAACAGAAGCTCATGTCTGCTGACAAGAAGAGAAATGCATGACGTGGGATAAGAGGAGGAGGCAGGAGAAACTTCCAACGGCAGAGTGCGTTTGGATACAGCGGAATGGAAGTGAAGAGAGTTTTCCACGCGAGTCAATACTGCTGTCTTCATTTGTAAGTCAGAGTTAAGAACACTAATTCCTGACCTGTTAGATACATCTGAGAACAGAGAGCTTTCCGGGACGCTAATCCATAAGTCTGCTGCTAAGTGGTTCATCAGCAAGAGCCTGAGATCGAAAGTCACCAATTAAGACGCCTAAACGCCCGGCTAATTGAGCTCAAAGTGTAGTCTGTCTCTCACATGATCACAAATGATTAACAAACACACACACACACGCCTAGCTCATTCCAGGCAGTTCAGCTTCGGGGCTTAATGGTGAAAACGAATGCGTGTTCAAAGTGCACACGGCGATTGGCAGTTTGTACGCATAGTTACATCATCAGCAATTAACACCAACCACATTTGACGCTTACGAAAGCAAACTCTGATCTGTTATTGTGAAAAGATGAAAGTTATGTTTGTGACTAAATATCTGTGCAGTGTTGCATGCTGTTGAGTAAGTAATTTAGCCACTGGCAGTCCTCAGAGTCACAAGACATTGCTAAATGGCAAAGTATCAGATGCAACAGCTAAAACCAGATGTTTCGGCAGATTACATGAAAAATACAAGCTGTTTTTCCTTACTGACATTAAATCAGAGAAAACATTTTCTGTTTTAGGTCAGTTTGGTTTACTAAAGTTTTTTCTATATACTAAATGCCAAAACATTTAAGGTGTAAAGCCATTTTCTGAAAAGCAATGTAAAATGTTGGACTACATTTATACATGAACTTAACAAAATATTATTATTATTTTTTTTTCTTAAGAAAGGGACTGGGAATTGGTAAAACTAAAATGTAAATTTTTGGCAATCAGAACCATTGTTATATTCAGGGGAAAAACAGATTCTTTCAACAGCATTCCAATGTTTGGTGTTGGGAGAGTTACAGTTTCGTTACAAAATGTAATGGTGAGATGCACTTGACAAAATAAATGGCGTCACAGGAAAAGAACATTATGCAGATATCCAATCACTCCACTTTGAATGATCAATTGAGCTTGATTGGTTAATAGGCAAGATTTAAATAGAGTGCATGTAACTGACCTTGAACTGTGCCAAAATTGGTGGTCTTCGTTGAAGTTGCATGACGAAAATCCATGCATTTTGACCTGAGCCTCTTGTTATCCTATCCTCATTGTAACAGCCCAACTGGTGAACCTTTCATGCTCCTTTGCATGCAAAACTATTGTGTAGTTGGTCAGAAACTGCCTAATGGAAAAGTGAGAGAATGATATCAACTACACTGGTCCCCAGTGCAGAGAAGGGAATCTTTAACTGGGAGTGTTCTTCTGCTGCTGGCATGTTGGAAAAGTATTATCTTTTTGTGAACCCTACTGTGTGGGAAGATAAGTGCAGTGAGTCTTCAACAAAGTAACCAGCATATGTCATTTTTTTACAGTATCAAATTGCACCAAGTCATACAGTATTCTGTTAAAGTCTAAACACTGAAATAGTTTGCGTCTTGGCTGAGAGGTCAGTCGACCGAGATTGAAACAGTATTTGCTTTTTATCTACCTGTACACTTTAACACGGGTAGAGTACTGAGCTATGCTGTCCGAAAGCAGATACTAAACCCTAGAAAAATACAACAGACATCAAATTGCATATCTCATCATTATACAGTTTTACAAAAAATACAAATTAAATCCCACTGACTGATTTATTTTTATTTTTTTCCCTTACATTCATTGTGTCACCTGTTCTCGTACTGTCTCCCTTACACCAAAATGTAATATTTGCAGTGTTTACTTGGAGCAGTAGAGGTCTTTGTGAGGAATGAGGACAGATAACATCTGCTCCAGGCCTCTCCCTGGCTTGGCCCACAGGTCTGAGGAGCAAAGCGAATTGTGTCTGAAAGGGGATGATACCCATCGGAATGTTAATGGGGCTGAATATTTCAGAGGTGGGATCATCACATGGCAGCAGGAGGACGGCTGGGTTTCCCAAAAGCATTTAGCGGTCGAAGTTCCTCAGTGTTATTGTAAAGTAGGAGTCAGAGATGATTTCTTTGCTACAGCTAACAAGGTCCAGTTGCTGTCGCTGGTGTGTGGAGGAGGAGGAGAAGGATGAGGGGGGGATTTAAGACAGCTGTATGTCTCTGGTGCTCTTATATGAATCAAGAAGTCCACCCAAATGTACTATTTGTGTGACTGATTGCTCTTCTTTTATTTGTAATTCTTTGTATTAATTCTAAATGGAAGTGACTTTCAGGGCATAAACAAATGATGCAAGACAAAAAAAACAAAAAACAAAAAACAAAACAAAACATTGCTTTAGTCTAAAATGGACGTGAAAGGATATGAGTGTTTTTGTCTGCAAAAGATGATGCCTTTAAGTTTCATTTATTATTATATTTATTGTGGCTCTTTCGTGGTGTTTGCCATGATACAAAAACTGTATAAACATATGGTAAAGCCATTTACCAAAGCTCTATCACACAGTCTTTTTTTAGTGGTAGTAAGACAAACATAATAATAAAAAAAAAGAAAAATGAAAAAAAAGTGAGAAGGAATGGGGGATTGCTCCAGTCCTTATAAACATCTGGAAACCACTATGGTACTTTTATTTTTGCTAAAATTAGTATTTGTGTTAGCCTTGGGAAACGGAGAGAGAAAGAAAAAGGGACCAAGTTGGAGGAGTCTATTTTTTTTTTCATCAGAGTGAAACTGATGTTTGTGGAGGAGAGGGGGAAAGGAGACAGAAGGAAGAGACCAGGTCAAAAATTAGGAGAATTATTGCAGTGCTCCCAGATGTGAGCAGGGAGGATGACCTGAGAAAGTCAAAGTTGTTCCCCATCAATCATTGCCATATGCCTGCAGAGAAATGGATCCTGCAGGACACTTCATATTCCCCTTTCTGATTAGTTCATTTGAAAGATGAAGCTGGGGGGGAGGCGGTTGGGGTGGAAGGTGATGGTCTTTCTGAAAATGGACGGCCCTGGCATATCCCACCAAAACAAAGGAACTCAATTTTAGAATCAAGAATTGCTATTTAAGACTACAGGGATCTTATTTTTTTTCCCTTCTTGTTCTTTGGTTCTTCCTCATTCACCTCCATCACCGTGCTCCTTCTTCTCCTTCCATTCCCCATGTTTTTATTGCACAGGTTAGTGTCAGGGAGCGATAGATTGAAGGCAACGCGTTCTTAACTCTGATCAAAGCAGCCAAGGAGGAAAGCTTTTCTAATGACTGGCATTCACTCTGCTTTCTTAATCCTGCTCTCCCTCTTCCCCTCTCCCATCTCCCATCCCTCCTCTTCTCTCTTTCACTTGCCTTTCTCTCTCAGGGCATTGGTAATTATCGGTGAGGTCTTAGTGACTGCAAATGAAATTACCATTTAAGAGAGCGGGAGAAAGAGACATCCCCTTTGCCATAGGAGAGGGCTTAAGTGAGGCAGCTTGGGTTTCGACTATTGATTTTTAAACTGCTACATCAGAGCGTGTAATGCTTTCATAATTTCAAATAAACTGTCGAGTTACAAAGTACTAATGAGAGAAAAAGTGAGAGGAGACCAAAGACAACAAAGAGAATGATGGTGGGTAAATTTTAAGTGTTGACACGCATGTATGGAAATTAAACTACCACTCTGGTCAAACTAGACTGCCAAGATCTAAACAATCCTGAACTAACTGCTAGCTAACAGTGATAAATGTTTATTGTGTGATAATGGGACATCAAACATTTTTTTATCAGACTGGTACTTTCTATGAAAATTCACATGAAGGGGAAATGTAAATTTGCAGGTTTTTTTTTTTTTCTAACACAAGCACTATCTTCAAAATTGAAAAAAAAAAGTAATGCAAAAGAAAAAAAAAAAAAAAACATCAATTTTCCCATCACATTTTAAATATAAAATTATCTTTGATGGTTCGTCTTTACTGAAAATATAAGCCACACATCCATTAGTGATTTCAAATAAGCGGTGCACACAATAAATCCCGAAACTGTCCAACAAAAATGTACCGTAATCGCAGCTTTTATTTATGATGGCGTAAAGATTCAAAAACAGGGACAGAGAAAGGAAGAATTTTCACGTGTGGCTGAATGAATTTAAATTTCTTTACATCTTTCACTTTTTTCCCCCCTCCCTCTGTTTTTCTCACTATAGACCGCAGGCCGTTGGAGGCAGCTTAGAAATCTCTTACATCTGGAGCAGCCGTAATTCGTGGGACTTGGCCTGACAGCCATGACAGTCATCGGGGCGACCGACAACAACTGTCTCCTGTGTTAGCGGCTGCAGTGCATATGTGTGAGTGTTAGCTTCATTTCAGAGAGTGACGGTGGCTATAGGCTGTATGTGTGTGTGTGTGTGTGTGTGTGTGTGAACGTGACCCTTTCTGTTTAGAAGGGAAACTTTTTGAACAAGTTCCTTACGTGATCTGAATTTGTGCTATTGAGAAATTTACTAAGCAGTTTTAATGAACATTTTCTGTCAAGTCCACAAATATAAGGCATACAGAGTGCTTTATGCTTTATGTAAAGCATAAAGCACTCTTTATGACGTGTAGAAATGCAAATTACAAAAAATAACAATGCCTTTTAAAAAGAAAATATAGATGTTTTATATTAATTTTATTGTTTCACTTTTTCTTTTTTTCTTTATTGTTTTTTTTTACTTCATTGTGTTTCCACTATTTATGATTAAAAATGTAATGTTGTTCTTCTTGCAGAGCTTTCTTGCACAACAACTTAATCTGATCGGTTTCCTCCAAAATAAACAAAGTAAGAAATTAATTTAATTTCACCTGTTGCATTTTTATCTCAACTTTTTAAAATTCTTTAATATATGCTCATTTCTTTCTATATCAACACTGTATTTAAGAGAGCTCCATTTTTTATTACAATTAGGGAAGAAAAAAATAGCATTTTCATTAAACAGTCACATTCCAGTATTGTGCATTTATTAAAGATTACACATGAGCTATGTCTCAGATAATTGTTTTTCACAAAAACTGCCAAAAATTAACAAAACAAACATTTCAATTACTCTGGAAAAATTACTACTTCCTTCGTTGTTGTTCCAAAATAAATCAGAAATCTAATCTAAGATCAATTTTAAATGGGGAATTTTAATAAAGTGGTTTTACATTGCAGTCATTTATTCCATTTTGCATCATATCTGGTATCGTTCTATGAATTTAGAGTAAGATCTACTGCCTCCCAGCACAGTTTGATGACCAGGACACATTCTGCCTCCCAATATTCCCCAGCTAAGTCAAGCTCCAGTCACACTACACCCAACACATGACAGTGGATATGGGAAAGATGGATTTGTAAATTCAATTTCTCTCTATTAAAGGACAGAAACTTGCTCTACTAATCTGGCTGAACATTAAACTGCAAAGATTATTCCGGGATAATACCGTATGCGTCCAGTACAAGCGAGCTCAAAGCTCCAGCTCTTCTGTTCACAGTAACACGACGACAAACTGATACGCAGCAGACAAATTGTCAGTTTGTTTTATGGTGGGCCAGGGACACCCCGCCACAGCTCGTCATGCTGCACACAGACAGTAGCGATCGTTTGCAGGTCCAAAATCCCACATTCCACATTCCTGATTCCAACAGCTCGCCTGCTAAGCTGGTCTCCATATGAAGAGCCATTGTTAGAGTGAGAGGGTCATGTATCGCTCCCTCTCTCTGTCTGTCTCCTGCTCTGTCTTTCGGCCTTCCTCTATTACTGTCAGACATTATCTGTGACTTTTGCTCTGTGTATCCTCCACATTTCACTCTCCTGGCCTGGTTTTCCCCACTATCTTGCACGAGTTTGTATATTTCCTGCTTTGCTTCGCTCAAGCCGTCGTGTCCCAGTCGTGCTGTTTTTTGTCTGTGGCTCTGCTTTTCTGCAAGACTCTCACTTTGCTTTCTGCCCGTTTTTCCTTTGTGTCTGTCTCCTCCTGTATCCCGCTGTCTGTCTCTCCATCTCCCGTTCCCTCTGCGTCTCCAGATATTCATGGAGAGATTTTCTCACATGTTGGATATAGATTTATGACCCCAGCAAGATCCCCGTGGCCACTAAATTTGATACCATTCTCTAAGCCACATTGTTTTTTTTTTGTGTGTGTGTCCTGGCTTGTCTGTTGTGCGCGATTGTGCGTAAGTCTGTGTGTGCATGTCTGGGTAAGTGTGTTCATGCATTACAAGGTGGAGGCGGGTGACTTTTAAAGGGTTAGCTTGGGTATGGTGGGTGCAGAGGAGGAATTTACAGTTTATTGAAGCACAGCAGTCAGGTATGTGTGCGAGTGTGCACATCGGGATGTCGGTGAGTGTGCGTGTGTGTGTGTGATAAAGAAAAAGAAGGAAAGAGAGAGAGAGAGAGAGAGAGAGAGGGAGAGAGAGAGAGGGGAGAGAGAGAGAGGGAGAGAGAGAGAGCGCCTGTGGGTGCCAGGTGACCAGGCTAACCTCTTGGCTGGTGTTTTGGATTTAGCCTTTGGATAGCAAAGCAAAATAAAAACGGAATGCTTTTTCAATTACAGATCAGAGAGAGAGTGAACAAAGGCAGGAGAACAGGGAAAAAGTTATTGGGATCTAATATATCAGAAGCTTTGTGCCTCTAAAATCTAAGTGCTTTAATTTTGACAGCCAGAACATTTTGTTCTTGAATATTTATAGTTCACAAGGGTCGCATAATTTTTACTCAATTTTTCTAAGTAATTTCTCTTGTAAAAGCTTTTCATTTTAGAAAATTCCTGCACGCCTTCTGTTTTGCGGAAATTGCAGATTTCTATTTTTTTTGGGGGGCTTTTTTTGCACTCCCAAGTATGAAGAGTTGTACATTTGACTTTGCAAAATTGAGCAACTACCTCCGTTTTAAAACTCACAAAAACGAGCTGCAAAAATAGAAGATGGCTGAAACAGAATACAAAGTTACACAGAGACACATCTGTGGAAGACAGCCATTTACTGTGTTTTTATGTTGTCTTATTAATTCTGACAGTAAAGGCACCTGAACTCTCCCGTGCATATTTTATTGGCTGTAGGTGGTATTTGTTGTGTATTTATGTCTTTTTTTGTTTGAATACTCTGTTCCTTCAACTTATTCCACAAGTTGTCGAGGGCGGGGTATTTCAAAATGGCATTGTAGAGTGCATAGGATTGTAATGTGCTTGTGTGTGATGTGAAAAGAAATGCTTCTCGCTTTTGATGTTTGGCTGAGAGGAACGGCACAAAAATAAAAGCCTTGGAAAATAAAGGAATGTTTTTGCAGGCTCGAGAGTGTGCGATCCCCTAAAATTGTTTATCTGTCAGTCAGGCGGCATGCGCGCGCCGACTGCGCTCAAACATGTGTTGGAGTGAAGGCGTGTGTGTGCGTGTGCGGGAGTGTGTGTCCACGCCTACATCTAAAAGCCGTATCTGGCTTCAGATCAAATGGTGTATGAAGTAGGGGAATGACACAGAGAGAAAAGTGATAGCTCTTTAATGTTACCTATCCACTCTCAAACCCAAATATAAGACCAGGAACATACGGAATAGAGAAGTGTGTTTTAGAAGAAAAGGAGTGACATGAAACACTTATGTCGAAAAGCTCTGAACATGACTTGGGCTTTGTAGCGAGGGGGAAGAAGATGTCTTGCAGAAAAAAAAAATAAAAAAAAGAAAAGAAAGAAAGAATAAATTGGATTGAGAGAAGAGTTGATATGGGGCGAAGAATTAAACAATGACATGCACTTTTATAGTTTGTGTATGTTAGGGTACAGTCGTGTTTCGTATCGTGTCTAACTTGTGTTTTGTTTCTTTTCTCGCTCTGCTCACTCTAAACTTTTCACTGTCATTGGGTCTGAGCCAGATGTTATCACAGAGGCTGCATTTGTGTCTATAAATTGCTGCAGTGTTAAGGATTTGAACATTTAATAATCTTCAGAAAGAAATGTCTAATTTAACATCTGTTGTTGAATTCACCTTGACCATTCCTATTCCTTGATTTTTGTTTCTCCCTGCAGGTCTGAAGCACAAGCAGAAATGGATCAAATTTTTTAATCTTTCCAAAATCACTTTTGTGTCTCTGTTGTACATTTTAGCAATTAATTCTACATGATTTGTTTCTTGTAATGCTGACAAGTTCAGATAAACTACATAAATAATAAAAAAAAATACTTCTAACCAGGCAGTTGTCTTCTCTTCATGTTAAGATGTCTTTATTCATAGAACATAGAGCAGGGGTGCCTCTGCTGCACCACACCTGGATAGAATAATTAGGTAATCAGCAAGGCTCTGGAGAACAAGGAGGAGGTAATTAAGCCATTTCATTCCAGCATTTTGTACCTGTGGCAGATCTAAAAACTGCAGAACACTGGAGTTTTATACCCCTGCCATAGAGGGTCTTACTGAAACCCAGTCAGTCACTGTTTCCATTTGTCTTCTGTTAATGTTCAACTCATTTTGCCTCACTAAAATGAGTGGCTTGATGTGGGCAATTTTGAAGACATATTTATTTCTTACAAATATACATGAAGGTAATAAAGGATACATCTGAAATACTCAAATAGATCCATGTGTGATACGGTTTTGCGCTGAAAGCCTGAAAGTATTCCCAGATAATTCCCATCTTAACCCGTTTAATCCCTTTTTTTTTTTCCTAATAAATAAGTGCATGCATTTAAAACCTTGGACCTCCCTAACACATAATATTTATGAATTATTACATTGAATGTTGGTTATGTTAGTGAAAATGTAGGTTTTATACTCGGCAACAATTGTTGCCGGTGGGAATCTGCATAGTCTAAAATACACAAATCAGGCCTATTTATACTCATTAAAAAAAAAAAACAAAGAAAGAAAGAAAAATCATGACATGCATAACTTACACCAAAGAATGATTACAAGAGTCAGAAATATTTTAGAAACATAAAAAGTACTGCAGATGTCTTTGTCTCAATGTGCCAAGGGTTTGGCACATTCACTTGTGGGAATGACAGTAATGTAGAAAACATCGTTCTGAGGTTCCATCAGAACGAGAAAATCAAACATCTTGTTTATATCAAATATGACTCAAAAGAAATTTGACTTCATAACTTTGTACCTTGAAATTGGGCCTAATTTTTTTGAAGAAACTCTTGCTCTGTCTGAAACTCCACCTTCAGGAAGTCATCAACACATTGCTCCTCCATTAACCATTTAACAGCACTTATACAGTAGCTTGTATAATGAGTTCAGCAGATATGCAATCCTACCAGGTGTGTCCTACCAGGTGTTTGCTTATTGTTGCTGTCAGTATGGAGGAGCTGAGTTCTTTAATGCAGACACCTGGATTGGAAACCGTCGCTCCACAGGAGGAGCTTGGTCATCAAAGGTGGCGTTTGATCCCTCCAGTCATTTTACACAGCTGCCATGGATTTCTCAAACATGTATGAAAGAATCAAAGAACCACTCCAGGTATGTTTTTGATGAGGGGATAACATTATAAGTTGATGTAAAGTTTAAAAATAGCCAGTTTTACATAACACTGGTCTTTAAAAATGTTGGAAAACTTGTCGAATGTTGTGCTTGTGAGTGCACCCATGTGTCCTGTGTCCTGAAAGTACTATTAATATAAACTAACATTCAAAAAAGCTAAATCTGTTGCTGCAGTAATTTTTCATCTCTCATCACAGTGAATGAGAGAGTGACTTGAAAAACAAGGCAAAGAAAATGTGCAGCTAGGTAGTAATCATGCATTACCATCATGGAAACCTATCACTCCCGATCTGACCAACCTCATTTTAGGGCAACAGAGCCCCAGAGGGGGGAAAAATAGCACCAATGGCACATTATTCTGCCTTGGAAAAAAAACAAAAAAACAAAAAAAATATCTCCCTCATGTTTTTATTCATGCCTGCAACACAAACAGCAACAGAATTTGATTTTCACAGCAAATATTAACGACCAGTGCAGAGGCCAAATAAATTATTTGTGAATATATCCTGGCAAGGCTCGATAGAAAGATAAGCTTGCAAACTGTAGGAATTTGCCATAGGAAGATGTATTTTGACGCCTGTGTACCAACATGGGAAAAACAACCATCATGTGTAAGTGGCTCCTAATGAGAACCTCTGATCATTTACCAGTCCTACGGCATCTCCATAACCTAGACTCTCTCTAATCACTGCCTATTCCTGCTGGGCCTGTGTCATATCCTGCTGAGCTCAACCACTGTAACAAGGATGAGGCACATGCATCTCCCACCGGTTGCACTGCTAATGTCTCCGCAGTCACAGAGGCCCTTGCAGTGACAATCCCATCTGTGACTCAAGGTTTAAAATCTTATGGGGAGATAGCTAGACAGGCAGATGGAGATGAAAAGCAGACAGTTATGCAAACAACAAAATTATGCCAAACAGACATGTGATAATTGATGGACTTAAAATTGTCTATACAATGAACAATTCATCTTTTAAAAGTGCACTGGGTGAAAGACTGTTTACATGAAGTCGCATTTTAAAAGTTTTTAACTGACATTGAAATAATGTCTTCATTGGTTATCCAACCAGGAAGTTTACATCTATCACACATCTGCCTGTAGTTACTGGTTTCTTAAAGTTATAATTTTGGTCAAGGCCAGGGCAATGGATGTCTCAATCTACAGCTTAAAATAATAAAGCAATTAGACATCATGCCTTCCTTTCAGTTTTCTCGACAGTATGAGTAACATCCAAAACCTGTAGGAATGTATTATGGTTGAATGATGTTAAACCTCAGCATCACCAGAAGAACACTCTGAAATATGGTGACTGCAGCATCTGGCTTTTGGGTTACTTTTTTTGAAATGGAACTAGACTCTTCCCAATGTAGATGAAATCATGGGTACTTATAAACTAACCAACCCACTTTTGGTCTAAAACTTGTGGGTGTCTGTGTTAGGAAGAGAAATCTGGTGATTTAAGATTGTGATAAATCAAGGAATATATTCAAATCTAAAGCATACCTGAAGAAAATTCATATTTTTTTTTATTAAAACTGGAGCTAAAAATGAATCTGAATTCTGATTTATTACTGCAAAGACGGAAAATTTGTGGGGTTACCGGCCATTCTGAAAGGTATTGTATGTTGAATTTGATGTTGCCATGCATCTTGGTGACAAATGCCAATCAAAGACAGAAAACTAAAATTGAATTAAAAACAACTCTTCAGCAAAATACTAATATATAAATATACACACAAAATAAATGCGCCATTAGAAAATGCGCATTGGTGAACAGGTTTAGAGCTGAAACACTTTACCATGCAAATCATCAAAAATTTTCATATTCCTAAACAGATAGAAAAGACATTTCTGATCTTTAGCTATTGATAATTCAGCTATTTAGTCATCATTTCTAAACATTCTCCAGACATAAAATGATATATAAGGAAAAGTGCAAAGTCCAATGAGGTGCCCATTAAAGGGAACCAGTACTCAGATCTTCAAATTTTTAAAGGTAACCTTTAGATTTGTGAACTACAGGCTAAAGTGTGCAACATTCAGAACAACTGAATACCGATGTAGATATTTACATCTACCATAGTTGTGATTCTTATAGCGATGAAAACCTATAATTAGAGTATAAGCTGAACCCCTGAGAGAGTGGGCTGCTTACAAGAAAGCATTTTTCACATATCAGAAAAAGGCGATTGCCTTTTCCTATCAGACTACTGTGATCATTTGTTGCCTTTAGGTAGATTTGACAGAAAGGATGAAAAGGCTTGCTCATGCTGCAACACAATGCAAAGAATACATAAAAAAATAAAATAAAATCCGACAATAAACATGAAAGCCTTTCAAGGATCTAACCCAGTCATTCAAGCAAACATATCTGGGCAGCTGCAATTAAATGAGCATATTTTAACTAAAGGTTGCCATTTCTTGACCTGATGTTTCTTTCTTATATCCCTCAGCTTGGGTGAATATTTCATCTACGTCCCAAAAGAAACCGCAATGCACAGCTAAACTTACGCAATACTCCTCTGCTTTATGATACTCCAAAAGAAAATATTGACTTCATAAGCACAAGTAAAAATAAACCTATTCCAGCCAGTGTTATGCCTAGCTGCGAGCATCTCTGCTTCAAAAAAAAAAAAAAAAAAAAAAAGTAAGGTTGAGTGTGCAACAAAAAATGGAAAAGTCACTAAAAAAAAAAAAAAAGTATTCCCAGCATGTTTCAGAATACCAATATCCTTAAGCAGGCGGGGTTTTTGATGTATAGACTCCTGCCAGTGTATTGTACAGATGAGACACTTAAGGCAAGACAATAGTGTTATAGATTGTGGCAAGAGTTAAATCAATAGACCTTCTGAGGAGTAACAAGACACCCAATAGCAAGTGCTACTGCTACACACAGAGGAGGGGCTGGGAAACAAATAAGGACTGGCAGACAGGGGCTAAGACCTCTGTGTCACCGACTAGCCATTAGGTGTGTTCGCAGTTCGGTGTCTGTGTGCGAGTGACTGTGTATCTCTAGGTGCTTCCCAGTCTTCCTTGAACATGCGTTATGGATGTGTGGAGGCATATGTGTGAATGTGTTTGTAAGGCATAAGCAAGAGCAGATACCTGTGTTTTGGTTGTACTTTTATCTCTTCTTCTTGGCCATGTAATCTCCCACTGGGCATCAAAGCAGAGCCCCATCACTAGCTCTACCACACCCCTATATCCCCCAGATCCCTGTATATCAGTCTGCGTGTGTGTGCGTGCATGTGTGTGTGTGTGAGTGAGAAAAAGAGAGAGAGAAAGATGGAGGGAAAAATACAGACAGAAAAGAGTCTATAAGAGAAAGAGAAGCACAGGGAGATAGGATAGTGGAATTAAAAACTGGAGATGAGAAAGCGAAAGTTGTGGGTGTGTGTGTGTGTGTGTGTGGGTGTGTGTGTGTGTGTGTATGCCCGAGTGAGTGTGTGAATAAAAATGAGGAGGGCTTTGCATGGAGCTTTGGACCGTCAAACAGCCATGGCTGTCACCCAAGCACAGACTGTGAGCAACTCTCCAGGGCAGCTTCCACAAGCCTCCCTCCCCCCTTTGGGTCTTACTCCTTCTTACTTCACCTCAGCTGTATCTTCCACCTCTGATCCAGGATCAGTGGCTCCAAAGGCCTTGATAGGTGTCAAGGTCCATTAACCTGGAGCAGGT